TAGTAGCTTTCCTCTCCCTGTGCTTAGTAAAATTGACATTGGCTAAAACGCACAGGTCAACATGCTAGAATCTATTCCTTTAATATTTACAATCTAGATTAATTTCTAAGCAGTGAAAACAGTTGGATGCCCAAGGGCAGGTCTCCGAGTGGCACACATTGTAAACCCCAGGGAGGTGGGGGACAGAGGGGGCAGGAGTGTCTGTGAATTAGCCTACATGCCTGCTAATTCCCTACCCAGGGTGAGGGCGTTGCGAAAATTCCTCAAAAAAATAATTTGAGGATGGAGGAACATCTATTTCTCACCCTCCCGGATTCTTTCTGTCCGTCACTTTTTTTTTTTTTTTTTAAATGATTTTTTTTTTTTTTTGTAAATGTATCCCTATTCAGTGTGTTGCCTATAACAAGCAGGATTCAGGGAGTTGGTTTATTTCTTTAAAGAGAGCATTTCAAACACTATGAAAGTCTCCTGACTCAGCTGAAGATTCATTTGTCCAGCTGATGTAAAAGGAAAAGACTTGAGTTGAACTCATTCGGCTGCTTTTAGGCTTGGGTCCTCCGGCTTAGGGTGGAGAGGAAACCCAGGTATTAGGGAGGGTGTGGCTCTCCATCCTGAGAAGGAAGGGCTGTCCCCTCACCACCTGCAAGCGCTCAGGGTGCCCGTGAGTCCTGTCTCCCCCCAGAGTGCCTGGTCTCCCCCTCTGCTCCCCTGGGGCCTGCAGGGAAGGGCAAAATTAGGCCTGGAAATGGGCCACAGGTCCTAACATAGCCCGGCAACCTTTGCGGCCTGAGGGCAGCCACGGGGCTCTTGGTGGCTCCCACTCTTCATGGTTCTTTGCTGGGCCCTCCCGGTAGAGCCTGTCTGGGGAACCGGCCCTTTGAGTTTTAGTGCAGGGACCTGCAGGATTTGATCCTCTCTCTGGCTCTGGTCTCCCCGGGCAGGCGGGCTGCCCCGATGCGAAAGTGAGGCCCAGGGACACCGTCCATACAGCAGGCTCCACTCCGGGGGCTCGGTGTCGGCTCTAAGGGACCCCCGAGTGAACTCACCTTTCCCACGTGGACGGGTGAGCGGTGCCACGGCGGGTGGGGGGACAGAGCCACCGGGACAAATGAGCTCGCGTGGTGTTGGTGGAGGCCCCGCGGGTGACGGCTGCCCCCAAACGGGCTTTCCCCACAGGATCACCCACCGGCTCCCCCCACGATGACCTCCCCGGTGAGCAGCGCCCCTCCGGGAGAGGCCCTCCTCCCCTCCTTGACCCCTCAGGACTTCTGGAGGCCACCGATCGCCGGCTACTCGGGGTCCGTGACCCGGCACATCAGCCACCGGGCCAACAACTTCAAACGACACCCCAAGAGGAGGAAGTGCATCCGGCCGTCGCCGCCCCCGCCCCCTAACACCCCGTGTCCAGTCGAGCTGGTGGGCTTCGGGGACCTGCACCCCCAGAGGTCCTTCCGGGAGCTGCTCTTCAACGGCTGCGTCCTCTTCGGCATCGAGTTCAGCTACGCCATGGAGACGGCGTACGTGACCCCGGTGCTCCTGCAGATGGGCCTTCCCGACCAGCTCTACAGCCTTGTGTGGTTCGTCAGCCCCATCCTCGGTGAGCCCCCGCTCGGCCCGCCCGCGATGGCCTCCGAAACCTCCCCAGAAGCTTCCAGAAACCTCAGTGGAGGCAGCTTGAGGGTCCCCAGGGGGACAAGGGAGGGGCCAGAGTAAGTTCCCCCAGTTGTGTGGGGCTGAACACAGGTATGGCCGGTCAGACCCCGTATCTTAAGTGACTTTATCTAAACCAGATAAAGGACCAGACTTCAGTGGACCCCAAGGATTCCACCATCCCGTGCCAGGCGGTGTCATCAGAGGAGACCAGCAGTACAGCTGGGGGTGGTTTGGGTCTGGGAGGTCCTGGTCTTTCTTGGATTCCCAAGAAGGTCATGGCTCCTTCGTGCCTTGTAGGGGCCTAAGTAGAAAATTTAAGGAGAAGCTGAGTGATTGATTCCAAGAGTCTGGTTATCTTTTGTTTTCTAGCTCAGGGTTCTGTTGCTGACTCTGACTTTCGTCATCTTATTCTTTGGATGCCCTGGGGACGTTTGAGTGCAGGTGTTTCAGGAATCTGATGAAGCTGCTTTGGTGTTGGTCCCCATGTACCATGGGGACCTCAGCAGTGACCACTGACCTGCTCTGTTTCAGGATTCCTACTGCAGCCACTGTTGGGCGCTTGGAGTGACCGATGTACCTCAAGGTTTGGAAGGAGACGCCCTTTCATTCTTGTCCTGGCTATAGGTCTGTTGTTTTGGAATTGAAATAAAATGGAAAAAAGAAAAAAGGCCCCAACTGCGTCCTCTTAGGAAAAGCTAAAAGAGTGTTGACCGAAACAGTTATCCAGATCGTGTCACTGGTGTGGTAGCAGGGAGCACCCTGTAATCCAGTCTGGGTTAACTGTGAAAATATCTCATTTTGATCACTTTTTAAAAATGAGTTAATAGGGGAGTTCCCTGGTGGCCTGGTGGTTAGGATTCCGGGCTTTCACTGCCATGGGCCTGGCTCAACCCCTGGTTGGGGAGCTGAGATCCCGCAAGCTGCATAGCATGGCCAAAAAAAACCAAAAAGACAGATAATAACAAGTGTTGACAAGGATGTGGAGAAAGTGGAACTCATGAACTGCTGGTGGGAATGTGCCAGTTCCTCAAGAGGCTAAACATAGTGTTACCATATGACCCAGCATTTCCACTCCGGCTATATACCCAAAAGAAATGAAAGCTTTTGTCTACATAAAAATTTGTACACAAATGTTCATAATAGCATTATTCATAATAGCCAAAATTAGAAACAACTCAAAGGTCCATCAACTGAAGAATGAATAAATAAAATGTATTATAATCTATGGATTTATACACTGGAATATTATTCAGCAAGAAAGAGGATCAAGTACTGACACATGCTACAACATGAATAAACTTTGAAAATATTATGCTCAGTGAAAGAAGCCATTTACAAAGTGCCACAAATGCATAATCCCACTTATATGAAAATTCCAGAATAGTTAATTGGTGGAGAAAGAAGTTAGGTTGGAAGTTGCCTGGTGGGGTAGGGGGGATGGGGAGTGACTACTAATGGGTACAGACTTTCTTTTTGGGGTTATGGAAGCGCATCGGGACGGCGCTGGCTGACACAGCCCACGACCACAAGTGGGGCATCCTCCTCACGGTGTGCGGCGTGGCGCTGATGGACTTCAGCGCGGACTCGGCCGATAGCCCCAGCCACGCGTACATGATGGACGTGTGCAGCCCCGCCGATCAGGACCGCGGCCTGAACATCCACGCCCTCCTGGCAGGTAAGGCTCTGTGCAACCGGGACAAAATTCAAAGACGTGGGCGAGCACGGACGTGCTTGAAAGTGCGTCTCTCAAACAACATATGTCAACAGTACACATGTTATATACTATAATATCTATATTTTAATCTATATTTCTTTTTTTATTGGAGTATAGTTGATTTACAATGCTGTGTTAGTTTCAGGTGTACAGCACAGTGATTCAGTTATATAATATAATCTGAATCTCTTTCAGATTCTTTTCCCTTATAGGTTACTACAATATATTGAGTAGAGTTCCCTGTGCTATGCAGTAGGTCCTTATTTTATATATAGGGGTGTGTGTATGTTAATCCCAAACTCCTAATTCAGCCCTCCCCGCTCCTTCCCCTTCAGTAGCCATAAGTTTGTTTTCTATGTCTGTGGGTCTACTTCTGTTCTGTAAATAAGTTCGTTTGTATCATTTTTCTTTTTAAAGATTCCACATATAAGTGATATCATATGATATTTGTCTTTCTCTGTCTGGCTTACTTCACTTTGTATGATCATCTCTAGGTCCATCCATGTTGCTGCAAATGGCATTATTTCATTCTTTTTTATGGAAGATATCGTTGATATATATGCATATATGTGCATATATAGCTCTGTATGTGTGTATATAACCGTGTGTAAATAGTGTTATACATTGGTGATTCTCGTTATTCAGGTAGTTGTGTCGTTCAAAGGCGTTACGAGCTCTGAATTAGCCAACCTCGAATCATGGCCCGTGGAGACATACAGGGTTAGGTTCCTGCGAACCTCTGGCCACATCATTTTTGTCAACGGATCAATACATAGCCTTGTTCTATGTGTTTCTGTTTAAAGATATCTTATTTAGTATATACCACGGATTCACTAACACTGAACTCACGGCCAGCAGCACTGTGACTTGTGCCCGAACGAAGCTCGTCTAACTCACATATTTTCCCCATAAGACACATCGCGGGCTCCAGGCACTTGGGAACCCTAGACAGCGGTAGCGCTACACTTGGGGGCTGTCAAGTAAACAGTGTGTCACCCAAAAAAAGCACAAAACTGCAAATATTTAGCACCCACATAGACTATGAAAAGGATGGCTGTTGACAGTGTGTGAGAGTTGAAACAACAAGGCAGAACATCACTGTGGAAAATCTTAGCCGGGACCGTGTGTGTCAGGCGACTCTTTCACTGCTCTGGGAATTCCCTGGTGGACCAATGGTTAGGACTTGGCGATTTCACTGCTGCGGCTCGGGTTCAATCCCTGGTCGGGGAACTAAGATCCCACAAGCCGGGCAAAAAAAAATTTTTTTCACTGCTCTGCACGTATCCAAGAGTGATTGCACGTTACATATGTATTTATTGGGGTTACAAATCAATTTTACCGAGTAGGTAGATTTGAAATATGGAATCCGTGAATAATGACAATTGACTGTGTGTACACACACACGCACACACCTGTGCTGTGCTTGATGCCAGACACGAGAAACATTCCCACTGAAGTCGGGAAGGAGGCAGGAATGACCACCAAGGGGAGGGGTGCTGGGGGAGGGCTGGACTGCGAGTGTGGGGTTAGCGGATGCAAACTATTATATATAACATGGATCGACAACAAGGCCCTACTGTACAGCACAGGGAACTATATCCTGTATCCTGTGATAAACCATGATGAAAGAGAAGATGAAAAAGAATATATGCATAACTGAGTCACCTTGCTGCACAGCAGGAATTAACACAACACTGTAAATCAATTATACTTCAATAAAAAATAAATTTAAAAAATTACTAGATGATGGAATTCAAGAACTTGCTACATGTTACTACTTGGTGTACTGAAAATCATTTAAAAGTAAGGACTCTCTGTCATGCAAAAAAAAAAAACTGTACTTCTGGTCCAGGAAGATCCCACACGCCGTGGAGCAACTAAGCCCGTACGCCACAACTACTGAGTCTGTGCTCTAGAGCCCCCGTGCCACAACTACTGAAGCTCACGTGCCTAGAGCCCGTGCTCCACAACAAGAGAAGCCACCACGATGAGAAGCCCGCGCACCACAATGAAGAGTAGCGCCCGCTCGCTGCAACTAGGGAAAGCCCGCGCGCAGCAACGAAGACTCAAGGCAGCCAAAAATATAAACAAGTAAATAAATAAATAAATAGTTAAAAAATAAAATAAAAATAAAACAAACAAAACCTTCAAGGGAATCAACTGCAAAACAGTAAGAGAATTCAGTATGATGTTTGCTTATCAAAGTATCATATAAAAATCAATACCTCTAGCGTTTGTATATAAAACACTTATCTTGTTCCAAAATAAAATGAAAGTAAACAATCCCATTTATAATAGCAATGGAAAAGATTTCTAAAAATCCAGGGAAAGATGTCATATGTGTAGGACCTGTATGAAGAGGCCGGGGTGGCCCAGGAGCTGAAATCCTGAATTGGATTTGTGCTTTTCCTCCTGTTCATGGTGGGACTTTAGGCAACTGCTTGGCCTCTCCAAGCCTCAGTCGCTTCTTCTAGAAAATGTCGTTGTTCATCTCTCTTTACAATCCCGTATGCACATGGGTCCAGGGAGCTTCTGCGTGGGTCCAGGCAGGCAGGAGTTTGGAGGGTCGGAAGAAGGAATTCGTTTTTTACCTTATATAGACAGTCCCCAACTTATGATGGTTTGACTTACGGTTTTTTTGCCTTGACCAAAGCTATACACATTCAGTGGAAACTGTACTTTAAATTTGAACTTTGCCCTTTCCTGGGCTAGCGATATGTAGTCCAATCCTCTCTTGTGATGCTGGGCGACGGCTCCCGTTCACCCCCGTTATCTCGAGGGTCAACAACCCTACACTGACAACTGTTCTGTTTTTCACTTTCAGGACAGTCATCAGTCAATTACATGAGACAGTCAACACTTTATTATAAAATAGGCTTTGTGTTAGATGCTTTGGCCCAGCTGTAGGTTAATGGAAGTGATCTGAGCATGTGTAAGGTAGGCGGGGCTAAGCGATGATGTTCAGTAGGTTAGGTGTATTCAGTGCATTTTCTTTTTTATCCCCTTTTTAAAAAATTGATGTATAGTTGATTTACAATGTTGTGTTAGTTTCTGGTGTACAGCAAAGTGAATCAGTTATACATATATTTATATATACATATATTCTTTTTCAGATTTTTTCCCTTATAGATTTTTACAAGATGTTGAGTAGAGTTCCCTGTGCTATACAGTAGGTCTTGTTGGTTATCTATTTTATATATAGGAATGTGTATTAAATGCATTTTCATCTTATGATATTTTCAACTTACAATGGGTTTATCAGGATGTAATTCTGTAGTAAGTACATGAAGATCTGTACTCTTCTGAATTAGTTTTTTTTTCCTCTTTTAAAATTGTGTTAAAATACACATAACATAAAATTTACTATCTTAGCCATTTTTATGTGTACAGTTCTGTGATACTTTCACACTGTTGTGTAGCCATCACCACCACCCACCCCCGAAACGCTTTTCATCTTGTAACACTGAAACTCTATAACCATTAAATAATAACTCCCCAATCTCCCCTCCCCCAGCCCCTGGCAACCACCATTCTACTTTCTGTCTCTACAAATTTGACTGCTCTAAGGAACCGATGTGAGCGGAATCAAACAGTATTTGTCTTTGTGGCAGGCTTATTTCACTGAGCATAATGTCCTCAAGGTTCATCCATGTTGTAGTGTATGTTAGAATTCCTTACTCTTTTAAGACAATAGTATTTCATTGCATTTATAGACCACACTGTGCTTATCCATTCATCCTTTGATGGACACTTGGGTTGCTTCCACGTCTTAGCTATTGTGAATAATGCTGCTGTGAACATGGGTGTACAAATATCTCTTCAAGACCCTGCTTTCAGTTCTTTTGGGGCCTCTACCCAGAAGTGGAATTGCTGGGTAATTCTATTTTTAGTTTTTTGGGGAGCCTCCTTATTGTTTCCCACAGCAGCTGCACTATTTTACATCCCCACCAACACTGCACAAGGGCTCCAATTTCTCCACTTACTGTTTTCTGGGTTTTTAAAAATTGTTCGATAGTAGCCATCCTAATGGATGTGAGGTTGTATCTCACTGCGGCTCTGATTTGCATTTCCCTAATGATCGGTGATGTTGAGCATTATTCCATGTGCTTGTTGGCCATGCGTCTATCATCGGAGACATGTTTATTCAAGTCCTTTGCCCATCGTTTGAATCAGGTTGTTTGTTTCTTTGTTGTTGAGTATAGTTCCTCAACTGTGCAAATGTATCGCTTCGATCATTTAAAAAGAAAATAGTTCATAAAGTTCTCACCAATCTGACCTTGATTAAGGGTCACCAAACTGCAACTGTGTCTTCAGAAGGAGTGGGGGAAGCTAATTAGGACTGTGAATGTGGAAAGTTAAGAATAACAAAGCTGTGGGGGGGCGGGGGGTGGCTGGATATGAGATTAAGAGGCCCGTAAGAAGAGTCTGGAACAAATGAAGTTCTACAGAAGGCCATTAAATAACTAGATTCAGGGTCAGGTCCCACCATAGGGACATGTGGAAGGTTGGGCTGAATGTGTCTGAGTCCAGGCCTTTCCACAGGTGATTCTGTTGAAAAGGCCGACTCCTGACATGGCTGGAACTCCCCAAGTGGAGGGGAGGGAGGGCCCCTGCTGGTTGGATGCAGGTTCCCCTGCATCGCCAAGAGTAAACCAAGAGTTTTACTCATCCCAACCAGTAGCCTGGTCAGAATATAGCTGGACTCAAAATAGAAAAGCACCTAAGATGCGTGATGTGGCTGCAAAGGGGCTGGGCGGGTGGAGTCCTGGCGCCTGGCCTTGCTCTGCCATTGGGAGCCCAGCGCTGGGCGGGAGGAAACGGCACTTTCTGGAGGTGAGAATGTCTTTTGCCACTGGCCGGGCACCGTGTGGCATCACCTATATTTTCATGTTGTGCTGTGTGAACCATTGGCTGTTGGCTGGGTCCCTGAGGCCGTGGAATCAGTGAGTGGGATCAGAGGAGAGGACCAGATTCCTGTAGCTCTCCTGTTCCCTGATGGCTCTGGGGCCTGGAGAGCTGCCACCAAGGGTGATCCATGAGGGGTGACTTTCTTTCTTTCTTTCTTTTTTTAATATAAATTTATTTATTTTATTTTATTTTTGGTCGCATTGGGTCTTCGTTGCTGCATGCGGGCTTTTCTCTAGTTGCTGCGAGTGGGGGCTACTCTTCGTTGTGGTGCACAGGCTTCTCATTGCGGTGGCTTCTCTTGTTGCGGAGCACGGGCTCTAGGCACGCGGACTTCAGTAGTTGTGGCTTGCGGGCTCAGTAGTTGTGGCTCGCGGGCTGTAGAGCTCAGTAGTTGTGATGAACGGGCTTAGTTGCAGTCGCTCCGCGGCATGCGGGACCTTCCCGGACCAGGGCTCGAACCCGTGTCCCCTGCATCGGCAGGTGGATTCTTAACCACTGTGCCACCAGGGAAGCCCAGGGGCGACTTTCTTAACGGTGGTCAGGCCCAAGGACGATGTCGCCAGGTGAGGAAGACAGGGGTGGCCACGCGAATTCCCGCACGCACACGTGCAGTGGTCTGTGTGCTGGGGACCAGGTCTCCCGTGTTTACACAGCGCTGAAGCTGGGGGAGGGGTGGGACTCCAAGGGGACAGGTGACCCAGTGTCGACACTCACTTTCGCTCCTCCTAAGACGCTGTGTGCAGAGGGGACCAGAGTGTGGGCAGGCGGTCATCATGCCCTGGCAGGCGGCCCTCAAGGGCAGGGGACCGGGTCCCCCCAGGGTCCCCCCAGAAATCCCATTCTCTTCTCCTTTTCCTTGGGGCATAGGTGGGACAGATGATACATCTGGGTCCTTGGGGTGGATTTTACAAATCAAGTAAGGAAGCGAACACCTTGCTCGGGGGCTTTCTTCCCTGCTCCCTGCCCCGTTTCTCTCCGCAGGTCTCGGAGGAGGGTTCGGGTATGTGGTCGGGGGGATCCACTGGGATAAAACCGGCTTCGGGAGAGCCCTGGGCGGGCAGCTGCGGGTCATCTACATCTTCACGGCCGCCGTCCTGAGCATCTCCACCGTCCTGACCCTGGTCAGCATCCCCGAGAGACCCCTGCGGCCCCCAGGCGAGAAGAGGCCGGCCATGAAGAGCCCCAGCCTCCCGCTGCCTCCCTCGCCTCCTGTCCTGGGTGAGGAGGGCGCCGGCCAGACAGTCCCCTGCCCGCCGGCCAGCAGCTTCCACGCCAACTTCTCCAGCCCCATCTCCCCGCTGAGCCCCCTCACGCCCAAGTACGGCAGCTTCATCAGCAGGGACAATTCCCTGACAGGCATCAACGAGTTCGCCTCGTCCTTTGCCACGTCCAACATAGACAGCGTGCTCATCGACTGCTTCACGGGTGGCCACGACAGCCACCTGGCCATCCCCGGCAGCGCCCCAAGGCAGGCAATCAGTGTCAGCTTCCCCCGGGCCCCCGATGGCTTCTACCACCGGGATCGCGGCCTCGGGGACCGGAGGGACGTCGCCCTGGCCACCGGCCCCGACGGGGACGTGCTGAGGGTGGGATCCTTGGACACCTCCAAGCCGCGGTCGGCTGGCATCCTAAAAAGACCCCAGACCCTGGCCATCCCGGACGCAGCTGGAGGAGGTGGCCCCGACACCAGCAGGAGAAGGAACGTGACCTTCAGTCAACAGGTAAAAGCAAACGTCCGGGGGCCGGGGGAGGGGGGAGACAGGGGTCAGAGGGCACTGTGCGTGGTCCCCCTCGTCAGATGATCTGGAAGGAAACTCCCGGCCCATCTGGGCATATCAGTCAGAAGGGACCTGGGTCTAATAGGTGGGCCCCAGGGACATCCCCATCCTTACATCCTGTCAGTGTCGAGATTCTGGGCCCGATGTGAGCCCACAGATGCCTTCAGGGTCTCTGCTCGGGGTCGCACTTTAAGACACTGGCCACAGCAAAGGGCTGGCTCTTTTAAACACCCTTACGTTGGCCCAGGGCTAATCTGGTGAGTTTGTCACAGCATCATGTGTACTGTGGTCGTTCCTAGTCTTTTCCCCGCCACGTCCAGCCCACTTTGGCCATGTGCGCCCAGTGCCAACTGAGCTAAGTCTTCCTGAAGGACAGAAACAAAACATAAACCCTGGCGGCTGTTTCTGGGGCCTCCTTCCCCTCCCCAGGTGGGCAACCTTAACCAACCAGCCCAGAGGCTGTCGATACTCTCTGGATCCCAAAGGGCGCAGGCATGTTCTGGGAAGGAGAGAACCTTCCAGAAGGCTGTCTGTGTTGTATGCAGGATTGGCTGGAAGGCCACGAACTGACATGTGGGATTTTAGCTGCTTTCAGAGCCCGTGATCTTGGAAGAGGCTACTTTATATTAAAGAGAGTTATGCTCATTTAAAGTAGACGTGAGGGCCTCCCTGCCCTCAGGGGCATCCAGGGGATGGAGTTTCCTGAGCAGAAAGCCTATAAGCCTTGTTCAACCCACACAGGCCCCCAGAGGGGCAGTTCTGAAGGAGGGTGACCTGGACACGCGCCTTGGACACGGCTGCCACGTGGCCGCGTCTCCCGTGAAGCAGGCCCCGCTCTGCCGGCCCGACCCTCCGTCAGACATCCCCACCTACACTCCCGTGCCTGGGAAGACCCCCTGATTTCGTGGGAGGCTGACATTGGGAGGTGGCCACGCATGTTCGCTTCGTTGTTAAGTTCTGAAGCTTAACCACGCCTCCTTTGTGTTACCGCGAGCCGGTCTTAGGGCCACTTCTATCGTGTCTTGAACTCAATGTCATCCCATCTCGAGGAAGCGCTCTGCACAGGTGGGTGCCAGTCCTGCAGGGAAGCATCCAGGTCCCCGTGGGCAGCATCCACAAGCTCAGATCTGGAAAGTGTCTGCAGAACTGAAAATCACCGGAAGAAATCCCATCCTTGGCAAAGGAAAGCCACTTCTCTAATTGCTCGAGTCAAGGGCATGTCATCCTCATTCCTAATGACAGCAGAGCAGTTCATCAAGCCTTTTGTCAATACTGGGTCATCCTGTCCTGTTTCCCAAAATTCCACCTGGCCTCTAGATACAGTCCTTAAATTCTGGTTGAAAAATCTCTTCTTAATCCTTTTAAAACTTTCCATTCTCGAATCAGTTTTGGAGGAAAGTAAAGTTCGTGAGCTGAATATGAACACATCTGGGCTCAGTGGGGACATAGGTGTCAGTCGAAGTCTTCCTCCGGCAGCTGTGGGTGACAAGCTCTGTTGATGCAGCTGCCCTTGGAACCGGCATCGTGGGCTGCTCCCTTCCTTTTCATTCACCCACCCGGAACGTCCAGGCGCCGACCCAGCACAAGCTCCCGCGTGGACGCAGAGTAAGGCACCTTCTCCTCTCTTGAGATGTCCAGCTCCCAAAGGCATCCGTGCGCCTGGCTGCTGTCTGCACCCCCAGCCCAGGCAGGCCACGGTGGGGCAAGGCCTTGTCATTCCGGGAACAGGTGGCAAACTGAGCCAGTGAGCATATTTGGCGATGGAGTTGCCCTGACAGATGCTGGGGACGTGGAGCTGCCTGGGTGCCTGGTTCCCTCCCTGCACGGGCTCTGTTGGCCACCCTAACCCCTGTATAGGTAGGAGTCCACCTGTCCAGATGCCCAGTCACGTTGGAATCAGTCTTTTACATCCTCTTTTACAGAAAAGATGAGACTTGGTAATGTCTGAATTTCAACTGACCTGTATTTCTTTTCTTTCCAACGTATTCCACATTTGGCAAGGTCTTAGCTTACTCTCTGTGGCCCAAAGGCAGGCACCAAGAAGGGAAATTCGATTCTCAGCCGCTTCCGTCTCTGAAGAGACGCCTTAAAGTCATTTCTCTCTTTCGGGTGGTGTTTGGTGTCCAGTTCTCACCGCCCAGGAAGACAAAGCCTCCCAGCCCCTGGGTTTGTGTTTCTGATTCACTCTCTCATCCAAGCAAAACACACGCTTCCGAGGGGTGCCTGGGGTTTGATGCACTGAGGAGGAACTTCTGGGGGCTTCCCTTTCAGGTGGCCAATATTTTACTGAATGGCGTGAAATACGAGAGTGAGCTGACAGGCCCCAGGGAGCCATCGGGGCAGCTGCCATCCATGAGGCACCTCTGCTTCACCATCTGCAACATGCCCAAGGCCCTGCGGCACCTCTGCCTCAACCATTTCCTGGGTGAGCTCGCGGCGAAGCCTCCCGCGTGTCCTGGCCCCCTCCGGTGGCCCTGCATGAGGGGCAAGGCTCCGGATGCCTGGAGGCCTCTCCCCTCCACTCGGCCTCCCCAGGCTTCACCAGGGGCAGGACATGGTGGGGACGGGCGGGGCAGGGGATGCCGCGGGGTGGGCTTTTCTCCAGGAAGAGCCGGGTCTCCACGGAGCCCAGATCCTCAGGACCAAAAGCTCTTCGGGCAACTCACAATTAAGGGGGGCATCACTTTCCCACTAGTGGGACTTGTGTCTTAAGCCAGTTTGGACCCCTCACGCTTAGAGCTGAGATGTAAACACACACAGACACACACGTCTGGTGCTGGTCCCACGTTCACAGGCTCGGCTTTCGAATGACTACCGAGAAGCCCCAACTTGCGTTCCATGCCCTTCGGTGTCTCTTTGCTGTTGGGTTGTTGACCGTCTAAGGATGATGAGGAATCTGAGATAATCTAGGCTCTCAAACATTGTGGGATGTAAATCAGAATGACCCTCTAGAAGGCAATTTGGCAACAGGCAAGAATCTTAAAAATGCCCATCACCTTTATCCCAGAGATCCTACCTATTTGGTGTTCTTTGCAAGGATGTAGTCCGAGGTTTTATCACGAATACATGTGCGAGGTATTTATCACGGCACGACTCATGATAGCCAAAGCCTGGGATGGGGGAGAGGGTAAATGTCCAACAATGGGAAGATGGATCCACACTGTGAAGAATTTTGCTGCCATTAAGATGGGGCTGTTAAAGAATATTTAATGGCATAGGGAGCATGCATGATAATTACTGGGGTTCAAGAGACCCCATAAATATCACCTCCTTCCTCTATAAAAGAGGAAATGCACGTGGAAATCAGAGGAAGGAGCGCTGTGGTTTTCTCCGTAACAGAGCAAATTAGATCTCTATCAACACCTGCCCTTCCCAATGTATTTCTCCCAGGTAAATGGGTGACCCCTGCCCCCGCACTGTGGCTGGAGCCCCACTGGCATTTTCTCACCTCCCCTGCAGAGGAGGGGGAAACAGGAGGAGCTGAGAGTTAGCTTTCCTCCTGGCAATAACGTTCAGAGAAAGACTAGAATACAAAAGCTTCACGCGACAGAGCCCATGTTATAAGAATATATATTTTAAAAAGACGGGTAGGAAACCTACAAAATTTTAACAGCGGTAAAGTCATGTCTGCGTGGTGAAGCTATAGGTAATTCCTTCTTTAAGTTTTGAATTGACAAAACTCATGGGCTCCTTCAATCATCGGTCAAAACCACCTGCGGGCGGAGACGGGGCCACGGGCCAGCGCCCGCCCAGCGTCACCAGCCCTTCCCCCTCCCAGGGTGGCTGTCCTTCGAGGGGATGCTTCTCTTCTATACGGACTTCATGGGCGAGGTGGTATTTCAGGGGGACCCCAAGGCCCCGCACACGTCGGAAGCGTATCAGAAATACAACAGCGGGGTCACCGTGGGCTGCTGGGGGATGTGCATCTACGCCTTCAGCGCCGCCTTCTACTCAGGTACCGGTGGGCTGGGCTCAGCGGGGCGGGGCCTCTGTGGAAGGGATAACAGCCCTGGGCAGGGAGGCTGGTACCCATTCAATGAAGGAAGGTTGTATCTTTACAGCTGCAGATACAGCATCCCAATTTCGGGGGAGACAGCGCTGTTTTTTTCTCCGTTATCCAGTGACCCGTCGTCAGGGGTCAGCTGAGGACGCTGCCTGGCGCTGCACGGCGGGGCAGGGCCGGGTGGGGATGGGCGTGTGTCCGGCCCTGAGTAAGCAGCTGGCCCGGGGGCGGGGGTGGGGGGGTCAGGCCCGTAAGCGAGGGATACGTGGGGGCCCAGGGACAAACCACGAGGTCACTCCCAGGGGCGTGTGCTGTCCACCTGCCACCCCTACCCCATCCTTCCCATGTCGATTCTCAAGGTGGCTGGTCCAGAGGGAGGGAGGGTGCAGGTTTGATGGGGGCGGGCAGCTAGAGCGAGGCTGTGGAACACGTGGGATGGGTGCGGGGAGGCCGAGACGACCCTGAGGTTTGACTCTGTGTGCCCCACGGACCTAGAATGCTGTGCTGAGTGCCTGTGGGTTCCGGGGCGTCCCAGTGGTGGCCTAAGGGACGGCGCACGGCCCCCTGGCTTCATCTCAGGGGTCCACCCACGTTTTCAGTAAAAGGCCAGAGAGTCTGGCTTCTTGGCCTTTCTGGCCACAGGCTCCGGTGGGGCGACCCGGCGCTGCCCTCGAGGCAGACGAGGCGTGATGAGCACATGGGGCCGAGTTCCAGTAAAACTTCGCTGATGTGCCCGGGATTCGGATTTGTATGATTTCCATGAGCCACAAAAGATCTGTCTTCTTTGGACTTGTTTTAAACATTTAAAAATGTGAAAACCGTTCTTAGCTCCGGGTGGTACAAAAACAGGCTGCAGCCCAGACCCAAGCTGACGGCTGCAGGCTGTGGACCCCGTTAGCAAGCTCCAGCCCCACAGTCAGGACCATGACTTTTGTAGGAGGTCGAGGGACCACATTTTTAAGAAAGAATTTCTTGGCTCTCGCTGGCGGACCCCGGCGGGCCCGGGGGTTTGGTGGCACCAGGACGTGGGGAAGCGGCCCCGGGGTATTTGACTCCAGAAAGGGGTGTCATGCGGAACCCGAGCTGCCAGGCCCCTCAGGGTCCTTAGACACTGGCCGGCCAGGGTGGTGCTGTCGGTGTCCTTGTGTTAGGAAAGCGACAGAAGCACTACGATTTGTGCAAGAACTCAGGGTTCAGCCGCAAACCCTAAACTCTCGAGCCTCTTTGATCTTTCCACCCAAAGACCCCTTCACCTGCTGCAGCACTTGGGGGCCTCCCCAGGCCCTGCCACCCATCTGGACGACCCCATCAGTGGTCCCTTAGCTCCCTGGGGCCCCCGATCGGGTCTCCCGGTCAGGGGCAAGCTGCCTGCCGGCCTGGCGGGCGGCCTGGGGCCCCAGGCGGGGCGCCGCTTACCCTCCTCTCTGGGTCGCAGCTATTCTGGAGAAGCTGGAGGAGCACCTCAGTGTCCGCACGCTCTATTTCATCGCCTACCTGGCCTTCGGCCTGGGGACGGGGCTTGCCACCCTGTCCAGGAACCTCTACGTGGTTCTGTCCCTCTGCATCACCTACGGGATTTTGTTTTCCACCCTGTGCACCCTGCCCTACTCGTTGCTGTGCGATTACTACCAAAGCAAGCAGGTGAGTGCCAGCCTTCTTGCTTCGGGCCCCATGTCCTGGTGACTCTCCACCTGAGCAGGGTCTCGGGACCCGCTGCACAGCTCGGGGCCCCGTTCAAACGGGAAGACGATCAGGACGCACCGGCAGGGCATAAACCCCGGCAGGAAGCTGCTCGCGCAGGGAACTGGGCGGCGCTGGGAGAGCTGCAAGGAGAGGGCTCTGCGGGCCTTTGGGGTCAGCCGGGAGCATGTGGGCACCAAAAACTCAGCGGTCGAGGTCAATAATTCGTGAATGTGGTTTTTGTGAAAATGAGCATCAATGCCAAAAATCTACACTGAGCGAGAGATCGGGGACTTAAAGACAGGGTGAGGGACAGGGCTGAGCCGAGTCCCGGCGGCGTCTGAGGCTAAAGGAAAACTCAGGAAAACGGATCCCGTCTTTAGGTCAAATTTTGGTATTTTGTTCAGGGTGGATTTTCCCTTAACAGCTTTATTGAGGCGGAAGTCACCACAATGCCACACAGTTCACCCATTTCCAGTGTACGATTCAGTGGCTTTTAGTGTATTCACAGCATCAATTCTAGAACATGTTCGTCACCCCCAAAAGAAGCCCCCTCCCCGTTGGCCATCACCCCTCCAGCCCTCCGCCCCCCTGGATGTTTCCCGTCAATGGGATGACATGACAGGTGGCCTTGTGTGTCTGGCTTCTCCCAGCCTCACGTTTTCGAGGCTCATCCACCCTGTGTATGAGTGGGTCCCTACCTCCTTCCTTCTTGTGGCTGAATAACGCTCCCATCGTAGATTTTTGGCAGAACTTTGAGGCTTTACAATACGGCACTAAAAGATCACCTTGACAGCTGCCTTTCCCGCAGCCCCTTTAACTCCGGGCCCCCGGCGCCTCCCCCAGGCCTGGCCCCGGGGGCTGACTCTCCCCCTGGGTGGTGCTCAGGCTGTGCACGTGACCTGAGCGCACTGTCCCCCTTGTCACCTCCTGGGAGCCCCCTTCACCGGGGTACGCGGACGTGCTGGTTCTCGGTGGAGGGCAGCCCTGCCCCGCGGGAGGGGACGCGGGGCTTTGGGCCACTCGACCCCGCTGGAAGGCTCTGGCCTCTGCTGCCCGTCAAGTCTTCTGGACACGCGGTCTCCGCTGGGCTGCAGGTCCAGGGCTCCCCTGCGACCTCCCCACGGCGGTGGCCCCCACGGGCTGGACGGGTGTCCCCAGGACTCATGTGACACCAATTCGCGGGAACACAGCCCCGGAGGGGTGGGAGTTGTCCAGCATCCCAGAGGGGAGCACAGCTGCATCTGGGAGGAGGGCCAGGCTGGGCGGGACCCCGAGTGGCGCCCAGCTGTGGTCCGCGGGGTGCAGGTGGCCTGTGCTGGGGGCAGAGTCACTCCCGCTGCCACTTGGCAGCTCTGCTCAGAGACCACGTGTCACCTCCGTCCCCAGCGTGGTGCCGGCTGGGGGCGGAGGGATCCTGACATCCAGGGTGGAGGCCACAGGCCAGAGGAGCAGCGCTGTAGACCCTGGCGGGATCTCTGAGCGCGACAGGCGTAGTAGGGACAAGGGTTCAGAGAGGGTGGAGCTGGAGCAGAGGGGGCCGGGCCGGCAGGCCCTGCATCTCCTTTAGGGGCGGGAGACCGGGAAGAGGCCATGCCACAGCCCCTGCTGGCCGCGGGTTCCTTTTCTTGTCGTCATCTCAGAACACAAATATTATCACAGTCTTGGCGGGGCTCCCTGTGCACGTGGGGCCCAGAGGACATGAGCTGCTGGGCGTGGGTGCTGGGTCCCAGGGCCGCAGGGGGGCCTGGTCTGGCTGACGCACATCTCTGGTCAGTTTGCAGGGTCCAGCGCCGACGGCACCCGGCGGGGCATGGGCGTGGACATCTCCCTGCTGAGCTGCCAGTATTTCCTGGCCCAGATCCTGGTGTCCCTGGTGCTAGGGCCTCTGACCTCGGCTGTGGGCAGCGCCAATGGGGTGATGTATTTCTCCAGCCTGGTGTCCTTCCTGGGCTGCTTGTACTCCTCCCTGTTTGTCGTCTACGAAATCCCTCCCAGTGACGCTGCCACCGCTGAGGAGCACCGGCCCCTCCTGCTGA